AAGGACCCTCCCATCCCCTGACCCTTCTTCAGAGTCTGGACTGTCCACAGTTACTGATTTCCTTGAGAAAGAGAGCCAGTCATCTAACTGCAGTTGCCTTTCTTCATTCCTCATCAGGAGCGCCATTGTGTCTAATTAATTTTTGAGCGGACTCCAGAGGGATTCCAAAGAGAGCCGACCCCTGGTTGCCTTTCAGGGTCTCCCAACTTCCTGCCATCCCAGGCTGCTTCTCAGCTCCTACACCCCCCCTCTCCCATCCACAGCAGTTCAGTTGCCTCCCACATACTGAAACCCGAAGACACCCAGGAAGTCAGGTGCGTGCGTGGAGGCATCAAGAACAAGTATCCTGACAAGCCAGGAGGAAGCTTCATCTCCTTTTATGACCTGGCCTCAAAAGTCACCATGTCCATCCTGCACTCCTCTACCTGCTGAAACAGTCACAAAACACCCAATTGCAAGAAGAGGGATGTAGACCTGTCTCCACATGAAAGTGGCGTCAAGGTCAAGGTCAAGGTCATGGGTCTGTGGAGCTACGGTAACAGAGTCCCACGAACTGGCCAGTTCCAACAGCAGAACCGTATCGTCTCAAAGTTCTGGAGGCTGGAAGTCCAAGACCAAGGTACTGGCAGGGTTGGTTCTGTTGGGGATCGAAAATCAATACCCAAGCCCCACACTGTGGTGGTGACTTTGAACAGAAGGAGCCACCTCGAGGCTTCTCTCCCACCTCCGCACCCTCTGCCCTGTCTCAGATCCTCATTCTCTTCCAAGTGCAGGGCAGGGCTTCCTCTGAGGCTCCCATCCCAGAGGCAATGCAGATGCTCTGAAATCTCATTAACAAGGAAATCACAAACACCTGAGACCGGAAATTAACCTTCTCCCGCCTCAGGACATCTGCCTGGACAGAGCTTTCATCCATACTCAGGGCAGCTCTGAAAAATTCCCTGAGAAACTTTATCTATCTGATAAGACAAACTGTGCTCGGTGCTTTGCTCCCCTCGAGCCCCATAGCCTGTCATCACCACCCTCCAGGATCCCCAACGCCACCACCATCCAAACCCCCTTCCTCCCTGAAATTGGAAGTTATTGAAGCCTCAACCATCTGGCCCTTCAGACAGGCTCCAGCTTTGCATACAGCTCCTGTGCTGCGGTTTTCCCCGTGCGTGTTAACACACTGTGTGTCCTCTCTTCCCTGTAGTCTGGGTATTGTCAGCTCCCTGGAGCAAACCTTCAGAGAGTGAAGACAAGACTGTGCCTATAGTTCCTTCTGAGGGTGAGGGAGAATCTCTTCCCTAACTACTGAGGTCTGCTATCCATCCTTGGCCTACAGAAGCTTTATCTCCACATGGTGTTCTCTTTCTGTATCCAGATTCCCCCCTTTTATAACAACACCAGTCATATTAAATCAGACGCAGAGTCTAGCCTGAGAGCCCCCCGAAGCTGTCTCCAGCAGAGGGCTCCCCACCACCCCACTTTTTGCTCTGCAACAGTGGGCCCTATGATCTATCAAGCCCCATCTCTTCCCACCCCCAACACCAAAACCAAGTAAACGGTTATGGTTTGGGTCTGGATGTCCCCCCCCCCCACGAAGGTTCGTGTGTGGAAGGCTTAGTCCCCAATGCAGTAGTGTTAACCAAGGGGTTGATCCATTGATGAGTTTATAGCTGAATGAGCTTTTAGGAGGCGGGGTCCAGATGGAGAAAGTAGACCACGGGGGTATGCCTTTGAAGGGTATATTTCATTCCAGAACACCTCTCTCTCTCCCCCGCCCCTCACTATTTCCTCCCTGGCTACTGTGAACTGCATGAACTGAGCAGCCTTCATCCGCCATACCTTTCCTCCATGATGTTTCGTCTCGCCTTGGGCCCAAAGCAACAAAACCAACTGAGCATGAACCAAAACCATGAGCCAAAATAAATCTTTCCTCCTCTTCTAAGTTGATTTTCTCAGGTATTTTGTCACAGCAATGAAAAGCTAACTAACACACAAACCAGAAAACAGTGGGAGTTAAAGTGGGATTACCAATCCATTTGAGCGTTGCATGATTCACTTACCTATGATACCTTGAACAGGCGGATTCATAGGAACATAAATAAAATAGGGGTTATCAGAGACTGGGAGCCAGAGTGAGGGAGTAGGAGTACGTATTTAATGAGTACAATAGAATTTCTGTTTGGAATAATAAAAATAAGTTCTAGAAATGGATAGTGGTGACGGCATACAACATTGCAAATGTCCCTAATGCCACACTTCTAAGGAACTAAAATACTACATTTTCTGTTATGTATATTTTATCACAATTTTTTAAACAGGTTCCATCTGAGGCAGACAGGGAGCCAGGGAATACAAAGACAGTCAAACTTCTTAGGGTCCATCATTTTCCAAAGCACAAATTAGTTCTAGCTGTTGCCATTTTGCAGACGAGGAAATAAAGATCCAAAGCATTAAGTATTCAAGGCCACCAGAAAGGCAAAGCACAGACCCATTATCTCTAAAACACAGGCAAAGGAATCCACCCAGGCAGCTGGCCTTTCAGGGGATGGAGCCGTTTAATTTCACAAACTCATTACACACCAGAGCTGGCGGGACCCTTAGAGATCTGGCTTAATCTGTTTGGAGGACAAGGGATCTATAGTCCTAGCTGGCCGGCTCTTGGACCCTGACCAAAGCCCGCGGAAGCTGTCTGGGCTTGCTGTTCCCTTGTCCTCTTGCTGAGGAAGTGGTGAAGGATGGAGGTCCACCCTTCTCCCTTGTCCCACCCATGTGACCTCAAGCCTGTCACTTACCTTCTTCATTTCACATCATATAATGGCTATAAGCGGACAAGAATTGCTGAAGATTATTGAAAAAGAGGGTTAAATTACTTAAATTTACAGAATAGGGTGCCGTTATCATCCACCAAGCACAGACGCATCGCCAGCCTGCTCTGAAAGTCAGCTTCAAAATACCACAGTGGAGGTAAGAGCCCCAGCTCACAGACAGACTGCTGCCTGGGTCCTTTTTTATCATCATCATCATCATCATCATCATCATCATTAACGGTTATTTTATTGAGGCCTAATTGACATACAATAAACCATGCATACTTAAAAGTTTAACATTTGACAAGTTAGGACCAAGCCATTCACCCCCAAAACCGTCACCTCCATCAAAGTAATTAAAATCTCTGTCCCCCAAAGTGTACTCTCTTTTCTGTGCCCTTTGCAATCCCTTCCTCTGGCCCTGCCCATTTCCCACCCCTCCATCTCTGGGCTATACTGATGAGCTTCCAGTCATTGTAGTTTGGCTTGTATTTTCTAAGGTTTTTGTACAAATGGAATCCTGCGGTGCCCATTCCATACCTGGCTTCTTGCACTCGGCATCATTATTTTGAGACACACCCATGTGGTTGCACGTATCAATAGTTCATTCCTTTTTATTGTTCAGTACTAGTGTATTTGCCATGATTTATGAGTTCACCCATTGATGGGCATTTAAGTTGTTTCCATTCTGAGTCCATGATAAAGCTGCTAGGAATATGCATGTACCAGCCTTTGCACTGATCTACACTTACTTTTTTCCTTGGGTAAACATTTGGGCATGGAATGGCCCGTCCTAGGATAGGTATATGTTGAACTTTTTGAGAAAATGCCAATCTGTTTTCCAAAGTGGCTGTACCGTTTTGCATCCTACCCACTGTGTGTGGGAATTCCAGCTCCTCGGCATCCTTGCCAACACTGGATACAGTCAGTTTTTTAACACTGGACCCTGACCCTGGCCATTCCAGTGGGACCAGTACTATGGTGGTAGCTCACGGTGGCTTTAATATGCATACCCCTGGTGACTAATAGTGCTGAGCTTATTTGCCACCCCTGCACCTTCGTTGGTGAAGTGTCTGTTCAAATCTCACCAGTGCCACTCACCAGCTGCATAACTTCAAGCAAGTACCTCAACCACTCTGCCCCGGATTCCAGATTCTGGAGGATAAAGACAGCGCTTCCCCGTGGGATGATTGTGAGAGCCTCTCCAATCCCAGTGCCCTGTGTGCCTACCCCCACTTACCCACAGATCCCCCCACAAGGCAGGAGCTTTACACCAGTGTCTGAGCTTCCTCCTGTAGGGAGGACACCTCTCCCCTCTGCACACACACACACTCACCCCCACTTCCAGCCGTGGAGGTGAGAGACAGGCGCCAGCAGTGGAGGCGTATTCGTCCAGATATCCAGGGACTGCTTTTGACAGTCTGTCTCTGGGGCCTTTAAGCCACTGTCAAAAGACACTTGATACATATTAAGATATTTCTCTTTCTGTTTGGAATTTCAACCTGTCTCCCAGGTAAAAGCTGGCTGTGTAAGGTAGGCAGAGAGGGGGTACAGCCGAGGCCAGTTCAGTCCCTCAGACAGCTCAGCCCCCTGCCACATGCACCTGTCCTCCGCCAAGGTTCCAAGGTCCTACCTCACCACCCTCCAGAGCCTCAGGGCTTAGAATTAACCAGAAGCCCTGGCCATAGGAGGTAGGCATGTCCCCAGGAGGAGAAAGGGAGAGTCCCGGGCACCAGACCAAGCCAGGCCCAGATAGGCAGCTGACCAGGATGACAGGGACAGCAAGCAAGCCCAGTCTGAGAGGGTGGCACGCTGAAGTCCGACCAGCTTGGGTCCCTTGGCTGTGGACGTAGGGCAGGGCACACCATGGGATTTGGGGACAATGGTAATCTCACCAAACACAGTGCTTCTCAAGTGTGATCTTCAGAGGGTTTCGAAGGTGCTAGAAATGCAAATTCTCAGCCATCCCCTCCCCCAAACTCTCGGGGCAGGGCCCAGCAGTGTGCTTCAAGGAACCCTCCTGAGGAGCCTGAGCTCCGAGTGGGGCAGAGGGGACAGGACGATCTAAGACCTTCCAATCTGTCTCAGGACAGAGGCAGAAGCCACACACTGATGAATCCAGGCTCATGTTCTGCTGCTGCCACTTCCCAGCTGTGACTCGAGGAGGTCATCAGCCTCTCAGCCTTTCTGAGCCTCACTTACCCGTAGGGTTGCCTCAAGGTGACACGCATCAGGACAGGGCTCGTGGAGCAGCTGAACACGCCTGCCCCGAGCCTGAAGGCTGACTCCTGGCAAATGAGACACAGTGGTCCCTTCCTCGCCCCGCATTACTGCCACCTGTGGGAAACGATCATCACTGACGCATCACATCTAACAGGAGGACTTTGAGAAGGGCGCCTAGCTGTGCCACGGAGCCTGGATACGGGCACAATAGAACCACAAGTGGAAACGGCTGTGCTTATCTGTACGAAGCACTGGCCCTGGCAGAACAGCCCAGGCAGAGCCAGACGTGGAGCAGGAAGCCAGCTTCCCAGAAGGTAACCCACGGTATGTTCTGGACCACTCTTTCTTCTCCTATCCACAAAAGTAACCTCAGCCTCCATCCCTGCTACCTGAGAAGAGACTTCCCTAATATTCCTTAACCTCCACTCTGCCAGTCCCCTCCTGCTCCCAGCCCCTGCTCCCCTCCCAGCTCTCCAGCCCTCTCACCTGGCACTTCCCATCCCAAGCATCCTCCTTCCCTACCCCTGCTCCTTCCTGGGAACCCAGGGCCTCCAGCTCTGGGCACCAAGGTAGCACATCTGAGCCTGCTCTGAGCTGCTGACCTTGCTGAGAGCAAAGCTTACGAAACAGCACACATGGGAGCACACTGATACTGGAATAGTCCTCATCTCACAGTCCCTCGTCCACTCCAACACAGGAAATTTCTCATAGGGCCATCTGGCTATCACTCTTCTGGGGACCCCAGCCTGGTGCCCTGTTCTGGGGCACTTAATTTCCCTACCGCAGCTCGCTTTAATCTCCTCTTTTTCCTGCATCTTGCAGGCGCCCAAGACTCCCTCCCTTTAGAGCTGCAGTGGACAGTTCTTAAATTCCCGCTAGTTTGTTCTGTAGAGCCATTTAATTTGGAGCCTCCTCCTCCTTCCAGATTATTCGAGGTGGGGGCAGAGAGCGAGCCTGCCCTTGAATAATCAAAAAAAAAAAAAGGCTGCTGATAGCATTTTCTCAAACAAAAGAGCTGTCTTCCTTCTGTCAGGTAGCCCCTCATCCCCACCTGGAGTTTAAAAGTGGCTGCAGGCATTTCTGTTTTTAAACGTCAGTTTTCCCCTTGCTATTACACATATGCAATGTGCAGGAACCCCTGGAAATTCCTCAAGTTTTTATTAAAAATTCCAGATGGTGCAGCAGAGATTTCAGACACTATAGCTTCTGTTAACAACAGGAAATTAATAACCAAACTGACTCCAAGTCAACATCATTTGGATTGGTGACAATAACATGAAAAGAAGAAAGCAGAGTTGCACAGCATTTGAGGCACAAGTTGCAGAATCAGCAAGACCTGGGTTCAAATCCTGAATGTCCCACTTATTAGCTGGCAATTGAGGGAGTCACCTAACCACTCGGCACCTTAGCTTCCTTGTGTGCAAAATCGAAAAAGTACAGTTCCGCTGTCATTCCACTTAGGCAGTCCCCAAATTCATCAGGATAGGGAGAAACAAAATTTTGGTTCTCTACCGACAATCGAATATTATTCAGCGTTTAAAAAAAGGACATTCTGACACCCGAGGCAATGTGGATAAAACTTGAGGACGTGAGGTACACAGCAGAACCAAACACAGAGAGACAGAAAGTTGAATGGAGGTTGCCAAGAGCAGTGGGGAGAGGAAATGAGAGCTGTCGTTTAAAGGGTACTCGGTTTAGAAAGATGAAGAGAATTCTGCAGATGGACAGCGAGGTCAGTAGTACAACAATGTGAATGGACTTTGTCCCACCAAGCTGTCTTCTTAAAAATGGTTAAAATGGTCCATTTTAGGTTCTGCATATTTTATCAAAATTGGGGGAAATTTTAAAATAAGATAAAATAAATCACCATGCTGTACAAAAACCACAGGGCTTATGGAAACAGTGGATTGGGAACTACTCAAAAATCTCTTCGGGAACATTTCTTTAAAGAGGAACCTGATTTTTAAAAATGGCAGCATGGTTTTACACACATTAAATGATTAAAATGTAAAAATTACATATAAATGTACAATAAGCATAAAGGGTTACCGTGCAAAGGACCTTTTGTTTGCTTGCAGAAGTGAGCAGCTTGTGAGTCACTGTCAAGAGAGGGGAGGAGGAGGATCTGAAATCAGAAGGAAAGTTACGGCACCAGGTCAGCGTCTCCTAAAACACATGTTGAAGGAAGAAGCCCGTAGATTCTGAGGTGTGTGCACCTGTGCTTTCTGGGTATTTCCACTCAGCCCAGTTCAACTGGGTACAGTTTTCTATGCCCATCTAGTGTTCCTCGCCCAGGATACCAGACGGAAGCAATTGCAAAATTAACATGATGCTCCGATGATTCCCTAATACATGGATCATGACGAAACAAATGCACATTTTCAAAATAAGTGCAATAGCAGAACTGACTGTCTCTACCTGATGGAATGATTACAAATATCATGTGATATAATGCGTACGTGTTAGTCAGCTTTACATCGGTATGACCAAAATACCTGACAAGAATAATTTAGAGGAGGGACAGTTTATCTCAACTTGTAGTTTCACAGGTTCAGTTCCTGGCTGGCTGACTCCATGGCTGTGGGCCTGAGGTGAAGCAGACCGTCATGGCGGGAGGGCACCATGGAGGACCACTGCTCAGCTCATGGTGGCCAGGAAGTAAGGAGGGAGAAGGCGAAGGGAAGATGAACCCTTCCAGGTGTGATCCCAGTGACCCGCCTCCTGCAGCCAAGCCCCACCTACCTACAGTTACCACCTAGTCAGTCCATATCGAATTAGAAAGGGCTGATTGGGTTACAACTCTCATAGCCTAACCATTTCACTCTGGATATTCCTGCATTAACGCAGGATGCAGGACGTTTTGGTGACACCTCATACTCAAACCATAAAAACATATGAAGTTTTCAATCGTGCCCAGCACAGAGTAACTGCTCAAGAATGACACTATTGGGGATGTGGCTCAGAGGCAGAGTACTTGCCTAACACTTGCCAGCACCAAAAAAAGAAAAAATAATGCTAGTGATGATTTGCTGGGACCGTGGCAGTGGTTGTTGGGGACTGTGGTTATTGTTCGTGCCACTGCTCCAAAGGACATGGCCCAGTGCAGGACCGAGGGAGGCTAAATGCCCATCTTATAGATGGTAGAACTGAGACCCAGAGAAACTGAGAAGTCTGTCAAGATCACAGGAAAGTCTGGAACAAGATGACTGATGTGATACCACACACACACACACACACACACACACACACACACTCTACCTGATACAGAAGTTGCACAGTGTCCCCTGGGTGCCTGTTGGTTAATTACTTTGCTCAGGTCCCTAAATCTATGAGGAAAAGGCCCTCCACCTTCAGGGAATTTGAGCCCTTTTTAAAAGGCAAAGGAAACGGGTAAAACTTTCAGTTCTGTCTGAAAAAGCAAGACTGATTTTTCTGGAGGTTCCTATTGACTTGGAAAGAGCAGATCTGCCCATCAAATGGCATTTTACCAGCTGATCAATTTGGTGTCATTCTCATTGAATTAAATCAAATTGAAATGTAATTCCCTTCCCGGAACAAATCCCCCTGCAGGGATTCTCTGTGCAGAAGTATTTGACCTTGTGCTGGCTGCCTAGAAGGCTTTCCAGAAACCTGGGGGCACCGGAGGGGTCTGCAATCCACCTAGATGACTTCTGGGCTGGATTGCCACCCACTCCTGGGTCAGTGGGAGTATCCAGATGGCTTCTGATGACCCCTGCCGAGGACATGGTGGAGTACCTGAATGTGTGCTTACACCTCAGAATGTGAGCAGAATATGCAAAGGAACAAGGACCAGTGAGAGCCTCCAGCACACAGGGAGACTCAAGGGAATTAGGAAGAGACTCCCCACCCCAGTGGTAGAATTACAAAATGGCACCCTCTTCTGGAAGGGGGAGGCTGCTCCTTCCTTCAGCTATGCCAGCTCCAAACCAGGTTGCAAAGGTTGGTGAGTGGAAAGTGGGCTGGAATTCAACCCTTCCCACCCTCCAGCCTCAACCTACCCAAACACATTCAGCAGCACTACCCAGTTCCCACAATGGCCACCATGGTTGTCCTTGCTCTGAGAGCGGTGGTCCAGCTCTGGCCAAGCATGCACATGACTCAAAGGACCCAGTAGCTTTGGGATGAACTGACTGCAATTGTGGACCAAGTCTTGGGGACCCTAAAAAGAAGAACACAACACATTCTCTGCCCAGAACTTCCCATTCCCCGAGGTTGTGCAATGCTGACCTTCCTGCCCTTTATCTACCCCTCCACCCCCAGCCTTGGGAGCCAGAAGACCTGGCTCCAAAATCCTGGCTATACTGGGCCAGTGACTTAACCTCTCTGAGCTTTAGCCCCTCATCTGCAAAGCGATGAAAACAATACCTGTCAGCCATAGGTGGGAGTGACCGTTAAGCTGGAAGACTGCCCTCTGAGAGTTAGGTGGACAAAATCCATGCAGAATGAGGAGATATGCCATCTGTTGGCACAAGCCAAGAGAAAAAAAAAACTGAAAATGTGACCAAAGAGTTTGGGAAGACCCCAAACGCCAGTCATGGTGGCCTGGGTATAGTCACAGGGAGGGAGGCGGGCTGGGCTGGGGGTTGGGGTGATGGTAATGGAGTAAGCAGAAACCTAATTAACTAAATCCGTTGGCAAAAGCTGATGTGAACACAGACAGCATGCCTAGCCTGGGGCAGAGACAAGGGAGCCCAAGGAGCAGAGCTGGCCATATTTATTCTACAATAAATTCACCAACTTCATGCCAAGCTCAGAGCCCTCTTAGCAGCCAACCACTCAGCCTCCTCTTAAAGATGCCCAACCCTCATCAACCTTTCTCAAGCTGCAACAATCCTTGGTCCCAGGGCTGTTATAAGGATTAAATGGGAAAGCGCCTGGCACGTAGCAGGCGGCAAATGAGCTAACACTCCCCTCCCACCCCGTTCCCGCTTCTCCTGCAAAAATAACCAATGTCAAGTCCTTCCCAGCCACGCAGCATCTCCTCCTAGATTTTCCTGAAATCCTGCTCTTCACTTTCCTGGTCCAGCTACCCTCCCTGCATCGGGGTGTCCACCATGTTTCTTTCCTCTGTGCCCAATGGAGCGTCACTTCTACCACCCAGGAACGCCCCTCTGCTCCACGCCAGCAGGAAAAGCCAACTTAAGGAAGGAATCCTAGAAATTCCTACCTACAACCAGTGCGATAAATTCACCAACTTCTGGGTATGAGCAACCTGGGTGTCTCCGTGTCCAAATTTCCTCTTCTTACGAGGACACCAGTCAGATTAGACTGAGGCCCACAGAGCTGGCCCCACTTTAACGTAAACCCATCTTTACAAAGTCAGCCCTGCAGCCACGAGGTGAGCACTGGGTTTCAGACTTCAACATGGGAGTTTTGGAGAGAAGCCTCAACCTACCCAACCTGAGTTGTAACTCAGCCCATTACAGGGATGCTATCTGTAAGTAAGAGCCTGTAAGAGTATAAAAGAGTGAATCCCAACGAATTAAACTACCTTTGTGGAAAATGGAAAATAGCCTCCTATTGGACCAGCCCGAGGAAAACCAAAGCACATGGCTGGGTAGGCACAGACGGCGTTTCACCCCGTCCCCCTCCCCCCGAACCTGGAGGCCCAATGCCCACCGTCATTCGCGGGTTCTTCCTTCCTCTCTCTCCCATCCCAGGCCAGGGATCTGCCAAGTACTGCTGCAGAAAACCTGACACAGTGTTGACCCCCTCCATTATGAACCCAGGGCCTCCACCTTCCTTCAGGGGGTTCAGCAGCTCTGCCCTCCTCCTGGCCACTCCTGGGCTTGTGCATGACCTGTTGGCTCTGCATCTGGGCCAGTGTCTCTGACCCCGGCTGGGTCTATGGACCCTCCCTCCCCGTTACTCCCAGAAGGTCATCTGTCCACTTTGCAGGAGGAAGGGTCACAAGCTGCTGCCCATTTTCTTTTCTTACCGCCCCCCCTTTCTCCAAAGCTTACTAGAAGGAGGTGCATTATATGGGAGAAAGAAAACAAGGTGACTCCAAAGTGATGGTTTCACCATAGAAGACTGACCTTCCTTCCTTCCTTCCTAGGAAAGTCAACTTCATCTCACTGCAGCTCAATTTATCTCTGAGAAGAAGGTCATCCCTTCAAGATGGCATCTGATCACACTTAGAACAACATCCAAACTCTTACCATGGCCCTGTCTACTCTAACCCTGTCTGACACCCTGCCCTCCCTGACTCATGATGCACCCACCACAGTGCCTTTTGGCTATTCCCAGAACACACCAAGCTCGTTCACCACCTCAGGGCCTTTGCACGTTCTTTTCCCTCTGCCAGATCTTGGCATGAGTCAAGTCAGTCAGACAGTACTCCACTTGAGCTGCCTCCTCAGCTGGGAGGAGGGCCAGCGTTTCTGTCCCCATTAAAACCAGCACCCACGATTCCTGATCTCTTGACGTTGTTTCTCTGTGTTTCGCTTATCAGGGAATGCCCCATGAAATTATATCACTCTACTTGTTTATTCCCCATCTCCCTCGAAAAGTAAGTTTCCAGGCAGCAGGGAGATCCCAGGCTGTCTTGGGGTGAAGCAATCCCCAGCCTGTGGCTGGAATTCATTAGATCTTGTGAAATGAATAAAAAACACTAAGACTGAAATGGCTATCCAGAGCCATCTCTGTGCTACCAAAGTGACCACCACATCCCCTACAAATGGGCAAGATTTCATCTCAGTGAATTAAAAATGTAAGTAACCATCTCTGTTGAAAATAAAAAAAAATAATAACATCATGTTGGACCTAGAAACTGACAACTCCATCCCCACATCCCCATTCTAGCTCAGGTTAGGTGGGAGCCACCAGCCACCTGCTGTCCTGATCCTTGCCTTAGGCCACAGGGACAGAGTGATTCAGGGGACAGGCACAGGTCTGAACCCATCAGGGTCCTTCCCTGGGATCCTTAAAACCACAGCCGAGAAAAGAAGAAAATGTCCCCATCCCCCAAGGCAAAAGGGTGAGGCTGGGAGCGGCTGACAGCCTGTCCCCCCCACCCAGAGTGAAAAAGTGACCCTGAATGCTCTGTCAACACAGCCCTTCCAGTAATCCGGGCACCTGAGACAATAATCATCTTTTTGTCCCAGCTGGTGAGCATTGTGGTTCTGTCGCTCGCTACCGAAAGAATTCTGCTGTGATGAATGAATCCATGGGCGCCAGATGCCTGGCCTGGTGCCTGGGTCCCCGCAGATGCACAGTCGCTGTCAGTGTCCTTTGCACCACCCCTGTAGCTCCATCCTCTGCCTCCTCCCCTCCCGTCTCAGGTGGGGCAGCCCTGCCCGAGGCCACCTCCACTGTCCCCGCACGCCCACGCAGAGCCCTCCTTCTCCTGCCCCTCTGTGCCCGGCACACAGTGTGTGACCAAAGGCCTGTCACCAGGCAGAGGCGGAGCTGCATAGAACCAAGCCTCGGGCGCCTTATAAACTGAAGAGGGCTCCATAAAACGTGCGGAAAGGGAAGGGCTGTCGCACGTAAGGGATTGTGATCGTGGTTTTATTAGCCAAATAGATAACCCTCATCATGAAAGGAACCTTTCCGAATGATGGATGGCTCCCAGGCCCCGAGGGGACATGGGTATTTCTCAAGGCCGCCAGTCAAACAAGTTAACCGCATAACATTTCTCTCTCCATAGCAACCGGCCTGGCCTCCTCTGCCTGGCCCTGGCACCTGCGCCTCTGGAAGTGCCTCAGCTCTGTGGCCGCTGTCTTCTGCAGCCCACCATCAGCGAGGGACACGCATCCCAGCCCCCAGCTGGGAAAAAGGCTCAGGGCTGGGGTGCAGGAATCTGGGGTCCAGAAATGGGTCTCTCCTCTGAGCTCCTGAGTCATTCTGGTCAGCACCGTGTGCCTCTTGTCCTTCTGTAGTTCTTAGAGGAATGAGTACCCACCCCAGGTCCTGAGGAAGGGGTGGGAAGGAGGCCCTAGCTCCCAGGTGAATGGCCCCTCTCCATTTCCAGGGGCTCCTTTCTCTCTGCGTCTATATTCTACAAAGCCTCTGTCTCTGTTCAGACAAGAAGCAGGTGCTGGGCAGCTTCACCGTCACCATGATCCAGAAGCAGGTAGCACACGCCCTGCAGAGATGAGAAAGCTGAGAGAATGGACCAGGTGAGAGACCAACCCACCATCATCATCTAGCAAGTGACAGCATCGCCCCACAGCTGTCAGAAGCCCCCAGCCTGCTCCCCACATCATCACTGAGCACAGCCAGAGGGGACTCAAGAGTGGCAATAAGGAACACCCTGCAGGCAGGTCCCTTGCAAGACTGTGCGGTACCCTCCCAGGCCCCAGCAGGACGGCCATCAGTGCCTGGGGAGACAGACCCCCTCGGCCTCTCAGGTGGACCAAAGAGAACGGAGCCCATGGAAATGGACAGCGACAATTCTCAGCCTGAGATCTTGGAGAACGGGGAGGCAGGACAGTGGGGGGTCTACAGCAGGGATCCCCAGCCTTTCTCTGTAAAGGCCAGAGGGTAAATATTTTCAGTTTTGCAGTCCCTATCACAGACACTAAACCTCCATCCCAGTGTAAAACCTGTGATGGACGAGGCATAAACAAACAAGCGTGACTGTGTCCCAACAAAACTTTATTTACAAAGACAGGTGGCAGACCAGATTCGGCCCATGGGCTCTAGATTCCCAATCCTGTTCTGGTGCAAAGGATGCTCAGGTGCTTGGGCAGGAGCAGCAGGGGAGGATAAACTTTGGAGGGAGGGAAGATCTCATCCACTGAGTGCCGACCACACTGCCGACATACAGTAGGTGCTTATTGAACACGGACCTGAACAACTGTGCTCTGAAGCAAAAGGGAAGAAAAAGGTAAGGGGTAGACTTGCAGAGAAATATCAAGATAGGGAGCTCAGGTCTGACGGTCTTCACACTCTGAAGAGGATAAATTAGGCAGTGCAGCGATGTGCCCACAAACATGGTCAAGGCTCTCAGAGTCCTGTAACTCCAACAGCTGGGTCCATGGACTCATTAACACCACCCGCCAACCCCAAAAGAGAGATCTCTAGCAGTGAGTGGAACACAGAGAGGAGAGGCAGATTTGAAATCTGCTGATAACACCCAGCCAAGTTAGTTACAAATGTGTACAACAGGCCAGTGCTCTGGACCAAACCAGCCAGGCAGAAGCCAGCTCCTTCCCCAGGCCAGCGCTCTCCAATCACTGCACCTGCGGACATGGTGAGTAACTCCACCCACCACCACCCAGAAAGTGCCCAGCTGGGCTGCTGTGTAACTCCAGCAGGGTTTTGACAGAAGGGTACCAAGGTCAGTTTCCAAGCTGCATGCCACCTGAGGCCTTGCTCCTGAGATCCACAGGGAAATCCACAGACAAGAGCCCCAGTACTCGGGGGAGAAGGATGGAGAAGAGGGAAAGCAATGGCTGATGGCTTAGCCCATGAGGACCCCTGGAGTAGAGGAGACAGGGGAGGCCGAGGGAT